CCCGCTGCCCGCCATGAGCGGCTCTTTCGATAAGAAGCTCTCCAGCATCCTGACGGACCTCTCGGGCTCCCTGAGCTGCCATGCAGCCTCCAAGGACTCTCCCACCCTGCCCGAGTCCTCGGTCACCGACCTGGGCTACTACACGGGCCAGCACGACTTCTACCCGGGCCAGTCGTACGGGCAGCCCGTGGGCCACTACCCCTACCCGCAGTTCAACCTCAACGGCATCGGGGCCGCGGGCACCTACTCGCCCAAATCCGAGTATTCCTACAGCCCCTCGTACCGCCAGTACGGGCACTTCAGGGAGCAGCAGCTCCCGGCGCAGGAGGCAGGTACGGACAGACAGACGGACATGGGGGGACAGGGGACGGGGCAGCCCCGCTGCTCCCGCGGCGCTCCGGAGGGGCCTCGATGGGGTTTAAACCCTGGGATTTGTGGGGTTTTAACACCGGGATTTGTGGGGTTTTAACACCGGGATTTGTGGGGTTTTACCCCTGGGATTTGTGGGGTTTTAACCCTGGGATTTGTGGGGTTTAAACCCCGAACTTTGTGGGGTTTAAACCCCCCGAACTTTGTGGGGTTTTTACCCCTGGGCCTTGTGGCGTTTTTACCCCTGGGATTTGTGGAGTTTTAACCCCCGAATTTTGTGGGGGTTTACCTCCCGATCTTTGTGGGGTTTTACCCCCCATCTTTGTGAGGTTTAAACCCCCCGATCCTTGTGGGGTTTTACACCCGAGCTTTGTGGGTCTCACACCTCGGGCTCTGTGGGGTTTTAAACCCCGGGATTTGTGGGGTTTTACACCCTGGGATTTGTGGGGGTTTAACCCCCCGATCTTTTTGGGATTTTACCCCCCGAGATTTATGGGGCTTTACCCCCCCCCACCCCCGATCTTTGTGGGGTTTTACACCCCGAGCTTTGCGGGGTTTTACCCCTCAGAGTGTCCCCGGTTTGTGGGCTTTTAACACACCGCTTTTTGTGGGTTTTAACCCCGAGGTCTTTATGGGGTTGTGCCCCTCCGGGTGTCCCCGCTTTGGGGACAGGGACCTGCTGGCGGCTCAGCCGTTCCCGTGGGGACGCACCGGGACCGATCCGTGCTGGATGCAGAGTCCGGGACACGTCCAGGGGGTGTCCCAGAGATTGTAGGGGCAGGGGATGGGGCGATGCCAGGACCCCGAGAGGGGTGACAGCGAGC